CCTAAACCCTAAACCCTAAACCCTAAACCCTAAACCCCAAACCCTAAACCCTAAACCCTAAACCCTAGAATTCTTTTAAGAGGGATACTGAGCAGCAGAACAGCAGCAAATTGCTGCTAGCCGGTTCAGGGTTTAGGTTACTGCTCACCCACTATACCCTGAAGTATCTGGCGAGCTGCTGCTGCTGCTGCTGCTGCTGCTGCTGCTGCTGCTGCTGCTGCTGCTGCTGGTCTTGAGGCACTGCCAGCGCCTATCATTGATAGAAAAACACCACAAATCAGATAATTTATTTTTTTTGTTTTCTCCTCTCCCCCCAAACAAATACAACAACTTGCCGTCTGCTGAGGATGCTAAGCACGCCTCATCCCTAACCCTCGGCTGCTGCTGCTGCTGCTGCTGCTGCTGCGGCTGTTGTTGTTCCTGCTGCTGCTGCTGCTGCTGCGGGCTAGAGGCAGCTGCTGCTGCAGAGGTGTACAGCAGCTCTATCGCGAGCGTCTTCAGGTGTATATGCAGCAAACGGTTCTCTTTGCCTTTTGTTCAGAGAGAGACACAGCAACACAAAAAACAAAGAAATACAATAGCTGCAGCAGCAGATGCATGCAGCAGAAAAAGCATACCAGCAGCAGCAACAGCAGCAACGCCAACAGGAGGAGCAGCAGCCACGAGAAGCAGCAGCAGCAAAAGTAGCGGCAGCAGTAGCAGCAGCAGTTAGTACCAGTAGTAGCAGCAGCACCAGCAGCAGTACCAGCAGCAGCAGCAGCAGTACCAGCCGCAGCAGCAACAGCAGCAGCAGCAGCAGCAGCACCAGCAGCAGCAGCAGCAGCAGCAGCAGCAGCACCAGCAGTTCAAGGGGCGATGCTTGCAGCAGCTTACTGCCGTTTGGTGTGGAGACAGAAGAAAAGCAAAAGGCGGAGTCTAGGGAGTTAGAGACCCACGTCTGGCTCCCTAGCTGCTGCTGCAGCACGAGCTGCTCAGAATCCTCCTCTTCCCCCTGCTGCTGCTGCTGCTGCTGCTGCTGCA